TCGAGATATCTATGAAAACTTGAAACTCTTGAAAATTTACAGTCCAAAAATGTGTAACAAAATACACTATTTCCAAAACTTGCAAGCCATTTTTTTCTCATGTTCGTGCATCTTGATGTCAAGATAATCAATTTGAAGATATTTGGGCATCAAAACAACCTCTTCTAGTGAAATTTTTGAGGTAGGCTCAAATTTGATTGTTTAGAGCCTCGGCTCTATATAAACTTTTCCCATATATAAATAATAAATGAATAAAGAGTATGATGATGAAGGTTAACTACTCTCCTTATGGTATATGCATTTTCTCCAGCAAACATACCTGTACATATAGCGTAAATTGAAAGCTCTATCCTGTGCTTTAATTTCTTAGAGTTCTGTGTGAACCTTTGGTTTTAGGTGCATGATATTTGGGGGAGAGAATTTAGTGATCATTAATCCCTGACCATTAATCCCTGACCACTGATTTCACGTTTTTGTTTAATATTTATTTTGTCTGTTGTAGCAATCTGGCATGGAGTTCCCCAAACAGTCAGATAAGATGGTTCCAATATTCACTCCCCCACTGAGACACTCTGCCAGAATCCAATCTCATGCAAATTATGGGTTGTCTGTCCATGTTGTAAGACAACTTGATGAAGTTATGGCATCTGAGATGAAGGGCTTGAGGTAATACTACTGTTGGGGGATTGAAAATGTTGTCATACATTGTTAAATTGTTCTAATGCATAGTGGAGCTGTTGATTCAAGGCTTCTTTTTTACCTTTATTTATATAATATTTTATATTAATTCGTATCTCTTTTCTTTAGTAGATATGTAAATTCCGTTGAGATTTTTTAACTGTTCTAATTACTTTTTGGATGTATGCCATGACAACTTGGCAGTTTATCAGATATGGAGCATTCTCAACATGTAATGGTGCTCTTATCTGATATGTTGAATGCAGCAAATCCGAATTCTCGTGAGGTAAAAGTCATGCCCTTGAATGGCCATTGCTGCTGAAAGAGAATTGAGAAATATGTGGTTTGAGGAACATTTGACAAAATAGAATCATCTTGTACCAAAAATGACCTATTGACAGGCATTTGTTGGGCTTTTGAGTTCAGTGTGTGCTAGATTCTTAAGAGACTTATTCAACTTTTCTAATATTGTTTTATGTGATTGAGTCTCAATTGTTCTAGTGTAAAAAACACCAAGAACAGAGGAAAAAATCATTCACTCCTCAACCCCTGATAGTTAACCTACATCTTAAGGATGAGATATAGGCTACTATAACACTCAGTTCCAAGGCAGAAACTCCCTTTGAGCTATTACTATAGTGTCTGCAACTGCTTTCTGTTTGAAGGCATCATATGGCTTACTTTTTGTTTTATTTTCTTGAAGTCTGTTAAGGATGACGTGATAGAGGATCTTGTCAACCAATGTCGTACAAATCAGAGAAGGCTCATGCAGCTGATTGACACCACCATGTAAGTATAACCAATTAACATCTTTTACTTGGGCTTCTTATAACTATGAAAAGATGATTTCAAGTTTTTGCGATTCATTTCCAGTCTACATTTAAGATCATGATAAGTTTTTGTTTGTTTTTTGTGCATGTTATCATTGACTAAATATCTACCATAATGTAAAAATGAGGTTTAACAATTGTACTTCTTGACAGTGTGATATTTTTTCTTGACTAAACACGTTTCGATGAGTTTGGGCCTTTACTAGCAGTTGCTTAAACGATTTCACATAATACATAAGGATTTCAAGGAATTTGATCATCTTATTGCATGAACTGGCTTTTATACTTTATAGGACATAAAGATGTATGTGGTGATGGTTTTGGGTTTCAGCTTGTGGCCTGTGGAGAAATTTGCTTTTCTTGGTAGGAATGCAAATAAACATCTAGGTGTGACATTGTTGATGGATTTTCCTCCATGATAGAATCCCCAAGAAGGTTTTTTTTGTCTTCAAATTCTTATCATAATTTTTTGGTTTGATCATTGATGTCTTACCTAGAACAACACCAGTTAGCAAGGTTAATTTTATTCTAGTGGGAGGCTTAAAAAGGCCATTGGGAAGACCCCAAAGGCATGGATGAACGTAGTGAGAAAAGGTGTAGAAACTTATTGTTTGACTGTATGGTCCTTGATAGAGTGAAATGACAGAGCATGATTCATGTAGCTGATCCCAAATAATTGGGATAAAGCTTGGATGGTGATGATGGTTGATGTCTTACGTATTTGGCTGGTATTCTATTATGGTATATAAATTGTGTAAATATGCTTCCTAGAGAGTTTTCATCTCTAAGATATGTTAATAGGTTGGGACTAGATTTGTCGATATTGGAACCCACCCATCCCGTACCATTGGTGTTAGACTAGCTTGTAGCATAAATTTTACATATGAAGATAGTATTTGTTTAAGGGGGAATGAGGAACTACAAGTATTTGTTTAAGGGGGAATGAGGAACTACAAGTATTTGTTTTAGGGGAATGACGAACTACAATTGTAGAGCTTGCTTATAAAAGTTGGCCTTATGAGATATTCCCTCAATGATTACAGTTTATCTTCAAGCTGATAATCCTTCATCTTTTACCATATATGGATGTATTCCAGCCCCCATCATTTTAGGATAACTTCCCCATTTCTAAGATAGTATAAGCTATGTTTCTATTAACAAACTTATTTCTGTGCAAATTTTTAAATCATTGGCACTTTCCAAGAAGGGACCACTTTGATGGATTGAAAAAACAAAGTAAAGAAACCTAAACATTCCCCACATTTATATCATCATTGAAGGATTCCTATCCTTTAAGGGATAATCCTAATTTTAGGGCACTGAAGGCCTCTTTTCTCATTCAATGGATGGTAAAATAATGTCTACAACAGAAAAAGTATGTTTAAATTTGTCTCCAACTGAAGAAATGTGTTTAAATTATCGTCAAGGGACAAATACACATAAATCTAAACAATTGCATATTTATAGCTTCACTGAAAGATGCTTTTCCTTTTGGTGATAATTCTAATTTTTGAGTACTACAGGTCTCGCTTTTCATCCAATTGATGACCAATTAATGTTTCCTACAGAAGAAATATCTTCAAACTAGTGGTCACCTTTTCTACCCAGACACAACATGGTGTTCAGAACCGACACAGACCCTTACAATTGGACCTGACATTTTATGGGACAGAGTTGTTACTTTTAATCAAAGTAGAAAGAAAAGCACAAAAATAATAATTTCTCTAAATTTTTTATGTTTCTGTTGAGAATTAAGACTAAAATTAGGCTTTTTTATTTTATTTTATTTTATTTTATTTTTTGAATAAGTTGATTTATTCCATTTTATTTGTTTAAAATTGTCTCATTCCTTTTTCTTTTTTTCTTTTGTTTTTGGAGAATGGTCAACATTATATTAATATTGTAAACTTTATAGTACGAAAAAACCCTTCAGGCAGCCCACAAAAGCAGGTGTTATTACCAAGGTTTTTCTAGCATTACTATTTCAGGCACTTCCTGTTTGAAGCCCCCATGTAATTTCAGTTTTTAGCAAGTGAATGAGCTCTTTGTTCTAATTGCTGAAATTATTAGAGGCAAACAAACTAGTAAATTGGGGACAAACAGAGGTACTTAGAGTGCTTTAAGTATAGAGAAATAAACAATCTTTTTCTATTTCCTTTCTTAATTATTATCTTTCACCCCTTTCACAGGCGAACATGATCCAATTAGTTCAACTGGCTTCCAACCTCTGACCTGTTCACTTTACTGCTCTATGAAATGGTTATTCTTTCCAGTGATGTGTATGCCGTGAGAAGAAATGAAATGAATTAGTCAAAGAATGTCTATTTTTGGTGACTTTATTGATTACTAGTCCAGATTCGGGGTTCTTCAGTTTTTATCAGAATATTTTTCATCTTACTGTAGGGACGAGGACCTTCTCAAAGAAGGTCTTTCTCTGAATGATAAATTGCAATATTTGCTAGCAAAGCATGATGCCATAGCCTTGGGTGCTCCTCTCCCTCCTAAACTAGTTGAATCTAGCCCACAAAGCACTTCTTCCCTCACAGTGGTCAAAAACAGTGAAGCTAAAGAAGAACATGAAGACGATGATGATGGTTTTGCTCAGCTGGCACGCAGGTAAAAGATTCTATTCACTCTTCGTAAATACTATTAGTCAATCATGGCTTCGTTTGGGAACTCAACACCTGGCTCAGCGGTCAGGTTGGCGAAACCACAACGTGACGTCGAAGGTTCCAATCCATCTCGCTTACCACACCCAAAAGAAAAGCATGTTTTGCTTATATTCTACTTCTCTTTGCTAGATTGACTACATCTTTTCCAGTTATACATATGTGTGCATGCATCTATCCTCGTAAGTGTGGTTCTTATTTCCCTTTCATTCTCAAGGTCTTCAAGGGCAACAAGCACAGCGACCCGAGTTATTGAAAAAGCTAGTAATGCTGATGTTTCTTCATCATCCCTTGTTGATGCTTCAGCCTCAAGCAACTCACCATCAGGTCAGCTGGTTGTACTTGAACGCCCACAACCAATGAAATTCAGACAAGATGAACCCAACGGCATGATCAATCTCTTTGATAGTAACCCACATCCCGTTGCATCTTTTTCACAACCATTCTCACAAGTCCCTGCTCGGATGGGTCATTCTTATGTTCAGAGGTCTCAATCAAACTCCTATTATCGATGGAATTTGCCCCAAAACAACTATGTTGCTCCTTGGGCATTGAATTATGTGCATGGTAAGACCCGATCAAGTGGCACCTCTGAGGATAAAGAACAGTCTGAAGATCGATCCACGCCACATGCCTATCCACCCCCACCATGGGCTCTTGGAAATCGCAGCCCTATTCCTCTTCTTACGCCTTCTCAAAGCTTGTACAGAAGCAACCGGAATCCTAGTTTTCCTGCACCAACTTTGCCAGGATTGCGTAATTCTGGCAGCTCAAGAGGTGGCATGCTTGCCTTAGATGTCAAATCTGAGACAACTGCATCAGATTGGGTGAATGGGCAGGCATCATCTCCGAAAAAATTTGTTCATCCAAGAAGGCTTGTTGGTGACCATGTTGGTATAAACAATACGATAATGATAAACAGGACTACAGATGGTTCTTCTATATGAACTGGAAGTAACATTAGTGGCGGTAAGTGAATCCACTTTGTATGTTGTGAAAAATGGAACTGTTGTATATATTGTGATATATATAAGGTGCAACTTGGCTGGAACAAATAACTTAAAAATGTATGGTTGCCACCCAAGATCCATGAGGATCATGTAATTCAATGAATATGTTAATGAATTGTAGTGGTCCTTGACTGAAAATGATGAACGCTTGTATCTCTAGGAACAGCCAGTTTTGTGAATTCACTGCCTAATTATGTAATTGGAAGTTATGATTTTTAGTTTTTATGTAATTGTCTGATGTTATTGAGTTTATTATTTTATATACTCTCATCTGTATCTGAGCTTTAGTTTGTGTCAAGGTTCAATTACTAGGCTTGTGCTAGGGGCCCAGGCCCTGCCCGAGCCATCTAACTCGATGAGTCGGAGTGGACTCACCTGAGTAGTTTAAAAGGTAAAAAATGGGGTAAAAAGTTAAAAAACAGTTTCAAAAAGTTTCTTAAAGAAAAAGATAAAAGCAGGAAAAGGCAAATAAACTATGGACAAAATTAAAAGTCCAACAAGAATGGGAAAAAAATATAACTTCTCCCAAAACAGCAAGGGATATGCTCTCCCACGTCCCAATTTGCTTAATGGTTGCATGGCCTTATGTGTTTTGATCATCTACCTCCATTCCTAGTTTGATGCATTCCATTTTGGCCTAGTTTTTGTATGGCTTTCATGAGTACTTCTTGGTAGAATTTTCTGAGATTTTTCACCACAAATTGGCAAGCTTTTTGGCCTTTTTACGAGTTCTTGATTTCCCACATAACTAGCTCATAGCTTATTCTTTAGGCCAACACGCTCTCTTTCTCCCACGTTGATGCATATCAATCTTCCTTTAAGTATTTCTTGTTTTTCGAGCATTACAAGTATTTGCTTTCCAAAATCTTAAATCCATTTAAGCTATCATCTTGTGCTATGGAAAGTGGACATAGATACAATGTGTTCCGAAGTCCTGTGAAACCGGGGCAAGTTGAGTTTGTTATAGACTTCCCATGATTAAGAGACTTTTATGCACACATTTGGTTGAGTTTACGTATTATGGAGATTAACTTTGTATGGTTTTGTGGTTTATGTAATTGAATAATATTACTTAAGTAATTTGTATGTTGCTAAAAGTTATATGCACGGGGAAAGGTTTCTATACTTCCCTTACAGCGTAGAAGATCTATGCTTCCTCTACCATCCAGCTGTCCAATTTTGATCAAGAGAATCACTCACCTTTTGATCTTATATCCGACGTCTCAAAGTATTTTAATTTTAGATTTTTTTTATACATATTGTATAAATATGAAATTTAGGACGTGCCATCTTTTATTGGGGGCATACCTATAAAAAATATTAAAAATAATTTTTTGAAAAAATACAATGACAAAAATACCCCTTGAAATTTTCAGAGGATTTTGTTCATTTTATTTTATTGAAAATATTTTTTTTATATATTTTTCACTAATGCGAGTTTAATAGATGATTGGACATACAAAATTTGGTATAAAAATAGTTTATATAAAAACAATTAAAAATAAAATAGTGTAGAAACCTGATATTGTGATTGGGGCAACCTTAGCCCCCCATTCAGAATGGACGGTTGGATGAGAGATAAGAGGAGGTATATATGTTTCATGCTGTAGAGAAAGCATAGAAGGTTGCCTATATGTAAGAGGTGCAATTCTCATGTTTAGTAAATCTCCAGTCAAACCGTTAGCGTGGAACTCGTTGGGGACAAAAAGTGAGGTGTCAAGCTTTTGTTTCAAGTGTCCGTAAAGGTGAAATTGTTATCACCAAAGAGGCTTTTTGCTGTAATTTTTTTTTTTTGTGTATGTAATTTGGAAAACGTTTATACAGAGCTAGGCTCTAAACAATCAAATAAGAGAGCACCTAAAAAATTTCATTAGGAAGACGTTGTTTTGATGCTTAAATATCCTCAAATTGATCAACATCTAGATGCATGGACATGAGAAAAAAATGGATTTCAAGTTTTGAAAATAGTGCATCTTGTAGTACATTTTGGACCGTCAATTATCAAGATTTTCAAGATTTTATAGATCTGCTCGATCTATACTATTTTGAAGCTTTAAATTTTATAATTAAATATAAAATTATATTTTAAGACTATCACAAAAATTTCCAGTATTAAAACCATATTTCTTGATACTATTTGAAGGCGGGCTTTACTTTGATTGTTTAGAACCTCGGCTCTATACAAACCGCATCATATAATTTGGGTAATTGAAAATTTTTAAATAGTAGCTCCTTGAGTTAGGCCTCTATACACCATCAGTTTTACTTAAGGAAGTAAATGGACAGTATTCTCCTTCATGAACATCATACCTTTTGGCCAACATAACATCAACTCTTTCACTTTTTTCTTTAGATAAAAGGAGGGGATGTTGAACGACTCAAACAGTGCTGTAAAGACTTTTGTTTTAAGATCTACCGCTCCTGGATTCTCAATGAAACAACCGTTCACGTTTGTTTTGCGCGAAAGTATTTTGTGAAAAAATATTTTTGCATGAAAGAATATTAAGTGGTCAAGTGAGGAAATACTTTCCTACCAATCAATTCGAGTGCATCTTTTCATACCAAGTGGAAGCGAATTTGTGTGAAAATATTCCTATACATAATCGGGTGATGAAATCTTTTTTATGTGAAAATATTTTTTGTTTTCAAAAAAATATTTTTACGACTCTCTCTCAATCACATGTCCAATCTCAGTCGCATGTACAAGCCTCACAATATTGGCCAATTATGAAGCATGGCAATTATTTTTTCTTTCAAAGCGGGCCTCGGTGGAGATTTCTTTTTCAAGGTATCCCTCTCTTTCCGTCTCCAATGGGTCAAATTTCTTTTTGACGTAGTTGAACGATGTAGGGCCTTAATAAAATGTAGGTCCTACTGAATTCACTGCCCCCGTTTCGTCGTCCTCGTCTTATTAATCCGGGTATTTCGTGTCAAAAGAATCTGAATTTACAAACCCTCTTTTAATGCTGTAGGTCCCAAGCAAGGTTTAGAACGACCTAGATTGTCTACCAAAAACAGCGTCGGCTTAATTTTTTAAAAAAAAATCAATATTTTTTAAAAAAATCTAACTTTTTAGGTTTTTTTTTTTAAAAAAACAATGCTAGATTGTCTACCAAAAACCGTGTAGGATTGATAGATCAGTATGTCGAATCAGAGAATCGATCAAATCGGTTAGTTACGGCTCAATTTTTCTAAAAAAATCAGTATTTTTTTTTTTAAAATCTACTTGTTTAGATTTTTTTTTAAAATAATGGTAATTCATCATTGTTATTCATTATTTTATATAAAAATATGGAAATACCGAGAACATGTTTCATTATTCTATACAATAGCAAATTAACAAGAAGTTATTTGTTAAATTTTGTAATAAATATATTAATTTAAAATTACAATCTATACTAAATATAAAAATAACAGAATCTATATAATAATAAAAATTTGTTAAATAACATAGCAACTTAATGTATTAAATTATGTGATATTTTAATGTATTTATAACAATAAAAGTTTCAATATAGCAATAACAGTTTGTAATAATTTTTACATGATTATATTCATTCAATACAATAATATTAACGTAATTTCGATATGATTGTAGTGACATAGTAGATGGACAACTATATTAAATTTAAAATTATTTGAATTGATTTTAAATTTATAATCATACTTATTAATAATACTATTAATATTTGTAATCACTTAACTATAATAATAGGTTATGGTTTGCACTTAGTACATGCTATGTTTTACTTAAAGGCAAGCTACACTACTTATTTCGTTCTATTTAAACACAAGCTTGAATGTTGCACTATTGCACTGAGTGCGTATTGCACTTAGCGCGACCTACAAGGAAAAAAGTCCCACATCGGGAAACTTACAATGGCAAAGACTCTATAAAACCTTTAGCCATACATGGTAGCAACATTAGCCACGCTACGCGTGCAAGTGCAAGCTACTATATGGTTAGAACATGTGGCCAAAAGGGTGATGTGACGATACTCAATTTGGATCGAAACGTTTTTCAAAACTTTGGTCCCAAGTATTTGAATTGTTTTTATGAGTATTGGGTCTCATGTAGAAATGAGGCCCTATTAAAAATAAAATTTTAAGATGGATAGTAGACGATTTTTATTTTAGATTTAATTTTTCAAAGATGGATTTTAAACTTGCATATAATAAAAGATCATTGGTACACGAAGGTCATAATTACTTATAACATCCAACGTGAAATCTGATAGCTTTGGTGTGTCAAAAAGTTCGAAAAAATTTCTTCCGAACTCTGAGCATGGTCAATGAAATAAATGCAACAATGAAATTTCACACCCAACGTCAAGATTAATTGTGCCACCTTATACCAATGATAAATGGTCTCATTATATATTTTTCCTTAAGAAACATATTATTTTCAATATATCGGAGATCGTGAACATATAAAACAAATCTTAAAAATTTAAAAATGACAGTTTTATTAAAAAAAAATTGGACCATTGATTTTAAATTTTTCTTGAGGGGAACAACTAATTTGCATTTATATTTGAAATAGATGTTTTATGCCTCAGGACTCGCACATGTAAAAATGTATCGTCAAATGGATGTTTTATGCCTTAGGAATCGCAAATGTAAAAATGTCTCGCAAATGTAAAAATGTATCGTGAAATGGATGTTTTATGCCTCAGGAATCGCAAATGTAAAGATGTATCCGTGACGCATTATAATAATTTTCTTAAAGTAAGTTAAAGTAATATATCTGGAAATGTATCCTTGATGCATATAATAATTTTTTTAAAGTAACTTAAAGTAATATATCTATAGAAATGTATCCATATAATATTTTCTTAAAATAACAAAAAAGTTGATGGGGTACTTTCTTTTTTAGTAATAATCTTATAGGACTCTCCTCTATCTATGTGTGTGTAAGACATCAAAAGATAACCATTAAATTTGGTACGGATCTCTAAAAAAATTATTACATAGATGCGGGACTTGACTTTTTTAGAGATCCATACCAAATTTAATGGTGATCTTTTTGGGTTCTACACACATGGGTGGGAGAGAGTTTTATAAAATCATTTCTCTTTTTTTAAAATAACTTAAAGTAATATATCTAAAGAAATG